ATCGCGCAGCACACGTCGACAGACCACGACTGCGACGCGCGGCGCGCCGCCCTAGACTCTGAACGCAGAGCCGTGTACTCCGACAGGCATTGCAGGGTGCCGTAGCCACACCCTGACGCTGGTGTCTTCGCACCGCAGGCACACTGCACGGGTGGTGCTCACCCACCCGGCGTACGAGTGGCTCTCCTGGGGCATGAACTACCACGCCGTCCACCACATGCACCCGCGCGTCCCCTTCCACCAGCTGCGCCGCGCATTCGACGCGACGCGGCGAGAGCTCAGGCACGTCGAGGAGCGCGGGTACCTTCGCGCCCACACGGCGGTGGTGCGTGCCGCGCTCGATCGGCCGGCGTCCCTTTGAGGTTCCTTCCTTTATTTTATTTGGTGAGCGTACCGTACACCTCGCGGGGAGACGTACTGGACCGGAGGACCTATTACGCCACACGCGGCCACACGAACGAGTGGGTGCGAGGACGGCTCGGCGAGGGGCTCACGGCGGGATCACAGTTTTCACACACGGCGGGGGTGCCTGGGCCGCTGTGGAGCGATGTGGTCAGGGGAACGACGAGACACAAATGGGACAAGCGTCAGCGGATCAAGGATCAGCACGGCGAGCGTGAGATACAATTCGCCGACGTGGATGATCACAACGTGGTGACAAAGACCGTCATGGGAGCGCGGGTGCGGCAGCAGGCGGGGGTGCCACACGGAGCGCACCACGAGAGGATCATGCGGGGAGAGGCGGGGAGAGAGACCCCGGGCGCCGCCACGAGGAGCGAACTCAGGGGCTGCCTCGTATGTAAGGCCGCGAGGGACGCGGCGAGGAGGGCGGCACTAAAGCGGGACCCGCTGTGCCCGATCGTGCGGAAAGCCGCGCAGCAATGGACCGAGGAAGATGAGAACCCGCCTAGAGCGACAATGGCGCACTTGCTTAGCGGCGCCTGCCCGGGGAATAGGGAGCAGGCCAGACGGTTCCTCAGAGTAGCGCGAGCGCAGACGGGGACGGCGATCAGCAAAGTAGCGCAGGCGGCACCCGACTCCAAGGATACGCTGAAGACGCTGAGAATAGCGCATGTCGCTGCGCTGAAGGGCTCACGCTATAGGGTGCTGGATGAGGACGGGTACGATGCACTAGCCCCAGCCGTCGGGGGGGTGTTGCCGGCGCTGGTAGATGATCTCCCGGAGAAGAGTCGGAGGGACCTTGGCGCCGGGGTCACGAGGAACTTGCAAGTCGTGGCCGAGGCGGCGACGGGAGCGGTGCAGAGGTGGATCCAGCTCAATGATGAGGCTACGGCGCGCATAATGAAGAGAGAGGAACACATCGAGTGGCTGAGGAAGCTCTTCGCTGGGGGAAGGAGGCCCGGCCAGCCTTGAGGGA